TATATATATATATACACTAGGTAGCACAAACCCCAGACAGCAAGACAGAGGGAGGTACATATTATCGTCTCATCTGTTGATTAAATTCAACCTTTGAAATGAAAATATTTTATTTCAATACTGTCAAGCACCGATTATCCGAACGGATCGTCCAATTATACAGATCGTTCAAGGACCGCGTGTTTTCTCAATTTTCTTTAAAAAAAATAGTAATTCAAATACTAGAAAAGTGTTGAAAAATGGCTTCTTCTGACTCTCGGGGGGTGCCCTTAAAAAGTCTGAAAAAGTTAAAAGATCTACTATATTTATTTATCCTAAGCCTAGAAAAAGTGTGAAGGAAATTTACTTAAAAATGTTCTCATACTTGTCAAATTATTCGGATTTGCTCTCGATTGGTTCGGATAATCGGCACCCTACACTATTATCACCTATAAATCATCCCTTTTAGAAATATTTACTTTAATAATTATAAAGAAAGCTTCGGGGGGTATTTAAAAGGCACCAGCTGGAACAATGAATTAACTAATTTAACTTATCAAATTAAATTTATTTAAAAAAAAAAAACCGTAAGCAAGAAAAGAGTTCACGTGACACTTAAAATATCTGTCGAAGTATCATCCTCAATAATTCTGATGTTAGCTGACTGCGATCCAAAGAAAACCAAATAGTTGGCAGAGGGCCGGGATAATCTGGTTGATAGGGAACTGGGCCCACGTCCAAGAGTTTGTGGGTTCGATCCCAGGCTGGTCAAAGTCTCCCGGTGTAGTAAATGGTGACTGATACATGTTAAATCAGTCGAGTCGCAAAGTCCTCTATGTTCTCATAATAAAATAATACTTCTGGGGGTACTGACCCAGGAGCTTCCTTGTCTTCTGGATTGGTTCATAATTACAAGGCTACGGAGTTCATCATTAGTAGTCGTAAACCCAAAATTGGGTCGGCTGTTCAATGACGGATATTTTTTAAGAAAAAAAAAAAAGCAGTTAGCAAAAAAATTTCTCTTTTGGGCGGATTTATTAGTAAATTTATCCTCATTTTGAGGAATTACATAGGTTAATATGCGTGTATAATTACTTTAATATACAAACCTTATTATTTATTAGTAAATTTATCCTCATTTTGAGGAATTACATTTGCTAATATGCATGTATAATTATTTTAATATACAAACCTTGACTCCTATGGAACCTCTCTCTGTGATGTCCCATTGGTCTGGAGATAAACGCTGGGCTGTAGCCTCGCTGATGTGAATTTTAAGAGCCTGCAACAATTGAAATAAAAGACTACTGAGTGCATATGAAATAAATGGATGGGAATTCCAATAAAGTATAAATATAGTAAGTATAAATAGTAAATATATAGTAATATAGTAAGTATAAATATACATACGGAAAACCTTCTAGAAAAGTTCTGGTTAGAAAATCACAGATAGATTATTATTACTGGGCTTTCTTTTTTCGAACACTTGATTTTGTTATAGCATAATAAATAAAAGAATGAATTTAATTTGTTTAAAGATTCTTAAGATCTATATTCCCCTATTTGACAATGGTAACTTCTCTTAAGGTAATATCGTTTAGAAAAATTTAGATTTTGATTTATAAAAGAGACATAATTTTCAAAGAAATCTTTATTTAAGTCATTTTTTATTTCTGGTTGATTAGATTATAGCGTAACATGGCATAGATTTTTCTTGCAAACGTGTTATTTTAGCGAACGAATTTTTCTTCGAGTAATACTTTAACTTGCTTAAATAATTAACAAAACGACAACAGTCAACGAGAAAACACACGCTAGCCAAATGGTGATAAAATAAACCGGATACAATAAACCAGAAGCTTTTTTGAAGAAAAAAATACTCTGCTCTAGAAATCATAGGGATTACTTTTACTATACAGGTTGTTTTAAAAAAACATGACAATGGTCAAATATCTCAAGAAATGAGCGTCGGGTAGAAAATATGAAAATGCAGTTGTGGTATATTTTCGAAAGATGCCAAAATTGATCCCGACCTCACTCTCTGCAAAAAAGGGTGGGGGAATCCAAAATATTAAATAGAAACCCGTTTGTTATTGCAGATTTGGATTCTACAGAATATATACCCTTATTTCTATTTGACCTAAAGAGCTACGGTAGCTCAGGGGTAACAGCGCTTGCCTCCCATTGAGGATACCCTAGTTGGAATCGCAGCGATGTTTGGTCTGCTCCCTTCTTGCACCAACCACAGTTCTGACATAAAATGTCGCCAGTAGTATGAATTAAAATCCCCTTGCCACCGATCTAACCTTTGGAAGATTTCGTTATCTTTTCTTATATATGTAATGAACATATTACAGTGATGACGTAAAGTATCCTCAGTGGTAGACGGATCATGAGTTAGAATGAGTTCTTCATGCAACGCAAGTGCGGGTTACTTCCCTCAAAAAGTTCTCCTCTACGGCAAATTTCTCCCAATACTTGATCCAGGAATTCCCTTATCTTCAGGATTGAGTTCAAAATTGCAAGGATATGGAGTTGAATATTGGTAGTCGTAAACAGATAATTCGGTCGGCTGTTCAACGGTTATGAAATTAAAAAATATCTATGTAATGCAAGTGTCAATTGGTTTCACCAAAATAGTCCTCCATGAAGGCTTGTCTGTCCCAGTGCTCGATCCAGGAATTCCCTTGCCTTTTGGGTCAGGTTCAAATTATAACACTACTGAGTTGAACTTAGATAGTGGAAAACCAAAAATGGGTCGGCTGTTCCATACTAGTTATAAAATAAAATAAAATATTGGACCTACAGATCTTTGCATTTTAGTTTATATACAGCGTATTTATCGCAAAATGGAAAGGGAGTACGAATAGTTAAAAATGGAGATATCTTGATTAATTCACGTCTGATCGAAAAAAGAAGAAGTGCGTTATTTGATATCTTAAGTAGCAGTTAATTCCGAAATATCTTGTTTGGAGCATAAGGGAAATTCCACTAGCGATAGACCCTTCAGGAGAAGTGGCGCAGATCCAGAAAGTTACCGTGTTTGATATCTTAAAATAAATTTTAAAATGCCCCACATTTGATCCACCGTCCCCTCCTCTAAGGTTGAGGTGATTTCCAAAGAATACGGCTGAGTTTCGTAACATTTTCACTTATTTTCAAAATATCAAACACCAAGACATCTTTGATCAATTGCATTTAAAAAAAAATGCCTGTTTATAGTCTCAATGAGGTGTTCAAGAATAAGGGATAAAGGCAATTTCTCAATTTGAAATATCTCTAAATAAGAGACTTACATCGCTGGTGCTTTCCATTCTTGAAGCAGTGTTTACAGTGTCACCAAAAAGGCAGTATCTGGGCATTTTAAGACCGACTACTCCAGCAACAACAGCTCCAGAGTGGATACCTACAAAACACATGTAGGTCTATGATCAGAAGAACAAGAGGTATGGTTAAGATATGGTTAGTAGAAAATTCTAACTAACTTTTGGTCCAGTGATCGTAGATCACATATTAACGTGTAATTTTCATGGTTTAATTGGTATAATTTTATAGGTAGGTTCTTAATTTACGTCGCACTGGAGATGCTCAATGGGCTGCGATCCGAAGACACGCCATCGGAATTTTGAGCCGCTGCAGAGGGGATGACTCCCCTGCTTTCGTAGTCCGACGACCTTTGTGCGAAATCGAGCACTTTACGGTAGAATAGTTTAACGAGGATCTATACCACGCACCCTTGGGCCCTACGCAGGCTGGTCAATGTGGTCACCCACTCGCTTACTGACCGCAGCCAAAGATGCGTGACTTACGGAGATGCGGAACCGTGTCTTTACGATCAGTCCACTGCGGGACTCATGGTTTAATATTTCAATGCATTAGTACTTATCGTCTTTCTAAAAAGACGGATCTCCTATTAAAAAGGTTGTAAGTGGTGGCACAAGTGTTTTATTGTTTATTTTTTTTTGAAGAACCAAGCGAGATATCAACCATAAAATTTATAATAATCAGAAAATATTTATATTTGGAACTGACAGTGTCCTTAGAGCAAAGTTTAAGTAGTAGAGAACTCGAGACAACTATATTTTTTCGTAAACCCAGCTTTTGAAGTGGTCTGATGTTAATGGCTTAAAATACACGCGGTTAAGTAGACAAAAAAGAATAAGAAAATGTACTTTTTCCAGTTAGGTAGGTAATTTATTTACGTCGCATAGAACTACACAATCCAGTTCGAACGTGGGCGACCCTCTATGACACTACTATAGTTTGTCTACGGTAAGAACTCCCCCACTACAAAGTCAGAGATCGTCCGCTGTTATGGAAGCAAGAATAGAGCATTTCAGGGAGGGTAGTTTCTCTCAATAGACCGAAGAAAAAGATTCCCTTTCCCTCACCGACCCGAGCGAAAGGCTGTCCTAAACAGCCGTCCCACATTTACCATAGTCACCGCCACATGTCTAGACGAATGGATAGGGGATTTCTTACTTTAGACAAACTATAAATCTTCCTAACTCATGTTTTACTGTAGAGGGAGGCGTGATGGCTCGTTCGCCTTCCATTAAAGTGAACCGGGTAGGAATCTCAGCAACGGCTGTTAGGTACGAATTCTGAATCCGGCTAGCACCGACCACAGTGACGTAAAAGATCCTTAGTGGTCGACGGATCATGGGTTACAAAATGACAAGGATACGGAGTTGAACATTTGTAGTCGTAAACCCAAAAAATTGTGCAGGCTGTTCAACAACGGTAATATAATATAAAATGACAGGCTTCTTTATTCGATAACTTATAGGTTTTAAGCGACTACTTTGTATAATGTTGATTCTAATAAAGATAGTGACGTACCAACTCTTATTTTGAGGCTCTCTCCAGTGGAGGGATCCTTGAGGTCTCCTATCACATCCACCATGTCTAGAGCCATGTGACACACCTTGTCCGCCTGCTTTTCTTCTACATCCGGGGCACCGGACACAACCATGTAAGCATCACCAATAGTCTCCACCTGGCGGCAGATATTACTACTGATTACATGATACAGGAACATATTTTAGAACCTTAACCCTCTAAAAGGCAGTGGGAAGTATACTTCCCACTAAAGTCATTCATTTCTAAAAATCAATGAGATGATATTTTCGCACCTATGATTTATGTGGTCATCTTTCGATGGCTTCAGAAAATTAAAAAAACATAGCAAAAAAGATGATTTTGCTTACAAATACGTGGGAAGCAATAAAGGTTGCGTAAGGTCAGGAACAGGGGCAGACACGTGGGTGCTATTTTCTCTTATGTTTTAACCGTTTGTTCTTTTGATCATTTCTGAAAGAGTTTATTTGTATTCATAAACATTAAGTTTATTTATTCGGCTATTTATAAGTACACAAGTACAGTTTCTTTACATTGGGCAAAAAATATCAAAAAATTTCCATCTACCTCCTTAACTGAATTTTAAAAAAATGGTCTTAAAAATCAAAGTAATTTTAGATAAGATAAAATAATTTTTTTTACTAACTAATCTCAATCCTAAAAATATTTTATGTTAACATTTCTAGAAAAAAGTGTCTCGATATAGGGGAAAACTACTATTTAGTAAAATAAGACTGACAACTGAATTAAATACAGTCACCATTAAAGACGATATACACACTGAAGTGCAACAAGAGATGCGAAAAATCGAGGAATATTGAAATAAGGGAATGAACCCAAGAACTTTAGTAAATTTTGGAAAGATGAGAAATTTTGCAATTCATTATTTGTGGAGGTGACATTTTTAGTTTCATGTAATTAATTAATTTTTAAAAAACAAAGAATAATTATAATATAATAAATGACACACCATTAAAAATGATATACAACATTAAAAGCAATTTACTGAAAGTGATGTACTTTTAAATCGCTTGCATAAATGACCAATTTCGTAAAAACTCTAGATTGTTGAGAAACGGAATGCAGATTTGTAATCAGCAATGCAAAAAGATGAAAGATTCGTGCAAAAATTTCATGCAAGAGAGAAAAAAAATTGCTCCCCAGTATTTTCATTATTTTAGCAATATTATTTTAAAATAAATTACACGCATACGTTATAGTTAGAAAATATAATTTTTTTAAAAATAAATATATGCGAGTTATGGAATCCTTCAAATCTATACACATAAAAATGAATGCCTGTCTGTAGATGTTTGTGTGTGTCCTTTATAGGCTCCTAAACCATCCAACCGAATGCGATAAAATTTGGCATATCGAAGCTCGAGGATGGTCATTGTCGACCGTAGAACATTCTACGACAAACCTTTTAAGCGGGATTAGCGAAAAACGAAATGAAATTTTCTGATTGTTTAAATATTAGCCATTGTTTTAAATTTTAATATAAACGATTCAGTTTTCAAATATTTTGAAGACATCATCAGTGATATTTTCTAGCTTATAGCTCTGTTTGTTCTGAAAAGTTAATTATATACACTTTAATATTAAATTATGTTTTATACGCCTAAATATTTCCCCACTTAAATACAAAATTTAAATACAATTAAAACTGAAAGAGTTGCAACGTGCTCAGAGTACAGCTGGTAAAAAATAAAATGTATTTTTCGATACAGTGAATTAGATAAAAAATATATGGCTATGCGGGCGCAGTTGAGATAGTCTTCTATTTTGTTTCAGTGGCCGATAATAATAGAAACGACATTCTTCCTGCCAGGCTCGGAATCCAATTAATTGCGCTTCTTGTCGGAATGATTACGCAATCAACCCTCACAATCAGGCGCCTGATTAAATTCATTCTGTGAATTAGATCTCCGAATAAATTAATTCTTCTGATGTCAACACATTAGGCTTTTCAGTTCTCACCGTTAGTTTAAAGAAATTCAAAATTGATGATACAAGAATTATCTCTTTTCTATTCTCTCCTTGGAGTCATAAACTATCTATAACTAAAACTATTTTTTAAAACTATTATTAGTTTGATATGCATGTATGCTTAAATCGGTTAGATTAAACAGTAGTTTCAGATAGTTCATTTTTTTAGCAATAGAGTCAAAAATGACTTGTTTTTTTTACTACCAGTAATTAATATCTCCAGATAATTTATAAAAAAATGGATGGTTATAGTTCCCACTTACATTTATTAAAAAATTCACCATTAGTTATTCAATTATTTTATTTTTACACTTAATTAAGCAAAACGTCGACTATGATCAGTAAAAAAATGTATAGACTAGGAGTTGTATGGATTTTATGCAAAAATTAAAGAACAATTTTCGACTGATGATCTAGATTCTAGATCTAGGCAAGAGAGGAATTGTTTCATTTTTGTATGTTTTCATGTGGAATTTAATGAAGTTAAAATTCAGTTGATGAAGAAGATGTGTGGAATTAATGATTAAATAGATTATTCTTCTAGATAAAAAAATTATTCTTTCTAAACATGAATTTATAACTCTTCTAAAAAAAAGGAAAAAAGAGAGCTAAACACACTGAATAACTTTTAATTTAATGATCGGGTTTTCATGTACTAAGATTCAAACTTAATGGTTTACTAGGGTGACCTCAAATATTAATTCAAAATTTAATTTGTGCAGACGATATTTTAAGTTATGTTATCAGGCACGAAAACGTACGCTCTCTGGGCAAACGTGCCGTTTGTAAACGAATTTAGATTCCGTACCCTTAATATATTTGGGTTTAGCCGCAAACTAGGGTCCAAATAAATCATTGAAGAGAGTGGTACAAAGTTTGGTCCCCTAATTGCAAATTTTACTTTTTGAGTAATTTTTTTTCCTAGAGAACTTTTAAAGTGAATTGAAATTTTTTTGAATGCAATTATAAAATTTGTTTCGTTTAAGATAATTCCATGCAAAAATATTTTTTTTAAAATTATTTATTATTCTTACATTATTTTATTTAGTTTTGAACTGTAAGGTAAACAATATTTGGAATCATTTTGAAGAATGTAATTTTATATGGCAAAATACAAAATTTGAACGAAATTCGTCGAATAATTCATGAGAAATCGAATTTTGAAAAAGTCGCTTATTCGATTTCTCAGGAAATATTCGATCGATTTTGCTCAAAATTAACATTTTATTAAGTGTCCAGAAAACTGATTTAAATAAAAAAAAAACAACAACCTTTTTTCGAATAAAAACAAGGTAATCAGTTTTATTCATAAAATAAAATTTCAATTTCTTAATTTAATAGTTTCCTGTTTATTTTATAAAAGATCATAAAATAGGAAGATTCGACAATCACATCGCCAAATTAATTCTGAAATGCAATGTAGCAAACTTTAATGATAGTTTTGAGAACCAGAACGATGAAGTACATTGCGTCACACTTTCTTAGTGATTTGACACAATCAAGTCTTCCAATTTTTTATTTAAAATACATCCGTTATTGCATCTAGTAAGCCTGGTTGGCAGGTCGCTGGACTCACGTTCGGGAGTTCGAATCTAGCCGGCCGAAGACTCCCCGTGTAGTAAATGGTGACTGGTGCACGTTAAATCTGTTGCGTCGCAAAGTCCTCAATGTTCCCATAAGAAATTATATCTCTTGGGGTACTGAAGTGGAGATGGATCGTTCCCTGGTTCAGGTCAAAATTATGATCTGTGGATGAATGAATGGATGACGCTCTGTAAATGGGAGTGACGCATGGGTGTGGCAGAAACAATCGCACCCCTTCTTCCTTAATGGCTGACGACAACAACAACAACATTACATCTAGTTTTAAGGACTAAGCAAAAAGAATAACGATAATTCTCTTCATTCCCATTTATCTTCGCTACATAATTCATCGATATATCTATTTTATTTTAATTTTATGACCGCCGTTGAACAGCCGACCCGATTTTTAGGTTTGCGTCTACTAATGTTCAACTCCGTAGCCTTGTGACTTTGAACCAATCCAGAAGACAAGGAAACTCCTGGATCAGTACCCCCAGAGGTATTGATTTGTTGTGGGAACATGGAGGACTTTGAGACTCGAAAGATTTAACGTGCATCAGTCACCATTTACTACACGGGGAGTCTTCGACCAAGGGGACCGAACACACGAACTCTTGGACATGGGCCCGGCACCCCACCGTCCAGGCTATCCCGGCCTAGCGATATATCTATTATTACTGACTATTAATCTATTATGTATTATATCGTATTACGCAATTTATCTATTATCACTGACTATTATGCACACGATGAAGGAGGCTCAGGTACCATTAGATAAGTGAAGTGAAATTCTTATTTAATGAATGGATGATACGAAGACAAAATTTTTCATGCCCAATTCTGCTTATTCTGTTACTACAGGTCATGATTGTCACAATGTGTGAATCTTTGACGAGGTATGCTCGAGGAGGAAGAATCTCATGAATGACTTGAAACTATATTTAATAATACAACAAAAACTCATAAGTATAACAAAATAACATGCTAGCCAAATAGGTAATAGAAGAATATCAACAAACATGAACTGTATTTAACATCTGGGCACCTTTTCCCATTCATCTTTAAATTAAATTTATGGTGTTTGGATGAGATGGTGGAATGCAAATGAAGTATTCATGTGGATAATTGAGTTCTGACTGTGTAGTTAGATGCAGATAAAACCATAATGTGAGGTACAACTTGAACTAAGCTGCTATGGTGAAAATGAGGTATGCTGCTGGTGTCGGGAATATGCAATAGTATGCTGCTATTAGTCTCTTGTCTTCAGTTGAATTTTCACACAGGAATATTTCAGTGGCTTTTTCATAAATTTTGATCTTTAATTATATGTTTCTCTATTACATCTATTTTGAGATATATTCAACTCTATGGGTGTATTGTGTCGTTTCTTACGAGCTTTACCTATCCTTCTTAGTATGTTTATCTGACAGACTATTAATTTGTTCAGCTGAGTTTGCGTTACATTTGCCCAGACTGGTGAGGCATATTTAAGGATGGGGCGGATCATGGATAAATAGAGCAATCTTTTGAGTCTTAGTGCCATGTTGGATTGATAGAGTAGTACCTGGAGTTTGCCGCATGCTGCTTGTGCTTTACTGGTTATGCTCTTGATGTGATCGTTCCAGTTGAATTTGCTATTAAGGATGAGTCCCAGGTATTTGGCTTTATCAATTACCTGCATTTTTTCATTGAATAGTAAACATCAATTAGTAAAGTCTTTAAATACTCTCTCTGGATCGAGCACCGTTGTTCCACAACTAAAGACTGTCGTCATGGATTTGTTAGTGGGGACGTCGGCTGACATCGCACAGCAATAATTAGTTAGGCTGAGGATGTGAATATATTGACAATTTGTAAAATTTTTTAAGCAACAGCGTACGTCACAGTAACGACAACTTAGATTCGAAATTTAGAAATGGTTAATTCATTATACAGGTTAATCAATGAGAAGTAGCGCTTACTTTCTTCTCTGTGTGTGAACAGCCTGGGCTACCAACGACTACGCTTTTTGCAAAATATTTTCGTAGACAATTAAAAGACAATTCGTAGACAATTAGAGTCGCAGACAACTAAAAAATTAAGCTTTCTGAATTCTCGAATAAATGAACATTTTAAAAAGGAAGAAAGAAATCTTTTGGGTCACGTCTTCTTCTTTTTTCCAGACATGCGTTGGGTCACGCTTGCTAATTTAATTGTTTCATTAAAAAAAATTTAAAACTGAGAAAGAATTGTGAATACCTTGTAGACTTGGTGCTTGCTGGTGAGTTGATCAAAGAGGCTGTACATGCAATTCAACATAGACACCACTTCCATAGGTGCGATGCGACTGCAGATTTCGGTGAATGTCACTACGTCACTGAACAGGATGGTCACGCACTCAAAAAACTGAAAGAAAAAAACCCCATTTAGATGCCGTATATTTAAGAAACTTACAATCTCAAGGTATTTCCTAATAACTAATCTTACTACTATTTTTTCTCTCCTAAGAATCCATATAAAATATGAAATGTTACGAGCATCATTTCTGAGTGTCACCAAATAAAATGAAGTGAAAAAAAAAATGAAAGTGCAACTTAAAAGCAAAAACCAAGAGCTCAGGTCATTTTGAAAGGGAGCTGCGTTGCATTTTCAGCAGTATTTCCTGCATCAAAGACTTTTTGCATAAACACACGTATAAGCTCGTACACACACGTACATGTTGAACAAAACACATCAGACAGCTATAACACTCATGAAGCATTCTTACTGCATGTGATGTTCGCAAGCGATCGTACGTCAATGCGATTCGCATTTGCGTAAGCAGTTCGTCTTAACATGCTGTTTCTAAACATAGAGTAATCGAATGCAGTGCGAATGCTCCCTATGCTTCTTTCCTACTGATGACGAATTCCTATATGTTTCCGTAAGGAAGAGCAGAAGTGATGAACCCACGATAAAGCGAAAGTATGGTAATCTGCCTCTTAGTAATAGCTTGCCACTTCAATGTGTGGACTGCCTAATACTTTATGTGCAATAATTGAAGAATTTTTAAAATTTATTTTCATTTAATTAGTCTATAAATATTTAAAAAAACATGAAATCATTCACATGAAAAACATTTCCATTGCTTTTGCTGCTGAATGTTTTAATTATGTTAAGAAATATTATAAAGCTGTATGAATATAGATATGAGTATAGTATATACGCGTTTTGTGCTTATAAAAAAGGGCAAATGAGCTTCTAGTTGCAAAACTCAGTTTACTGTATGCACATAAATCCATCTCGATTACAAAAACATTGTTCCATAGAGAGTGTACCTGGCATGTATCGACAGCTGCCTCACCCCTTCTGAGTCTGTCGGCCACTTGTTTGGGAATCATTTGGTAGAGAAGTTCGTCTGTTCTCTTCATTTCAACGTCCAGCTTCCGCATCGACTCCTCCAGTTGTCGGCTCTTCTGCAGCTCCTATAAGAATCGCATATATTCTACAAAAAATATGCATTATATAAATTATCAAAACTCAGTGTAAGCTACAAGCTACGTCAAACACATTGGAAAGAAAATTCTGACATAATTCGTTTTAACTTGGAAGCTGCAACCACTGCAATCAGTTAATCATTTTAAGTAATGACTTCAATGACAGAAAGTCTCCCCTCAGTTTCGCCTGATCAGATCACTTAAATAAACAGTTTATGATTGAACCAGCTCCCAATATAAAATTTTGCAAAACACAATTTATCTTATTTCAATAGTCATTTATTTGATGTGGTGGTTTACAACAAAGTCAGAAAAATTAAAATTCTTTTAACAAGTACACTTTAAGATATCTTGAAAGTTACAGTGGTTTTCAACCGAATCATTGCAAATCGTTTAATCCTATTTCACCTTTAATTTCGAAATGAGAAATGCTTACTTGATCTAAGGCCAACTTGAGTTCAGCTGACTGCTGTTGCCCGGCAAGAACCATATCTCTGCTGAAATCATGCATACTTAGATCATTGATGTAGAGGCCAGTGTGCAGCATTGCGTCAAGGCTTCGCATCCTGAATGAAAATACACATACTTTATTACAAAATACAAACAAGATCACTCGTAAATGATTCTTTTCAAGTCTAGTGGATCACGGTTGTGGTCTGGCATTTAATTTGTAGAGAAATGTATTTGATGTAACAAAAAAGAAATAAAAAAAATGATTTAATGATGACTTAAAAATGTGTTTCATTAGTGCACCCTCTAGAAACTGCAGAATTTTCGTAGTTTCAGAAAAATATTTTTCCTAATGTTAGGAAAGATAGTGTAATATTATTATAATAAAAAAGATTAGCACTCAGTATAAATAATTTAAATACACCTATAAAAGGTTAAATTATATATTCAGTTGAGATTCTTATCGTTTAATTTACGTTACGTAAACGCTTCTCACTCACCGTTCCTCATCATTTTTAGTTTAAATCAGATGGAGGGGCAGAAAACCCTTTTGACTAGGTACTCCAAATGCAGAGCTTAAATCGGTAATCAGTTGAAATTCTTACAATTGCAAAACCACTACCTTATCAAACTATCCCAACGAAAACAAAGAGGCCAACTGTACCAGATATGAGTTAATATTAAAAAAAAAAAAAAAACAGTAGAGTACTACAAACTTAAATTTGCAGATCTTCTGTTAATTTTTTAATTTTGCTAACTTTTTACCCGGCTTAGCTGCAACAAAGTGGCATATTACATAAGCTATTGAATTAATGTAAAAGTAGTGGTTAGTAGAAACCCTATAAACCGAATTTACTGAACCAAGAATCATACATTAAAAGACTATCACTCGAAAATACACTCGTGTAAAAAAATTAAAAGAATTTGCAGACCTAGTCGATTATATCTACAGCTACTGATCCAGTTTTAATGAAATTTGTTAAGTACATCCATGGATACAATACAAAACAAATAACCATTCAACAATTGCAATAAACAAGCATGAACGTGCGCAACAATCGTTGGAGTCGGAAGGTATGAAACAGCAGTTGCAGAATAAGCTAAAAAAAGGGTTAATAGGGGTTATGGTCCCCTCTTACAGATATACAGGCCTTGAAGAGTGATTAGAAACTTGAAATAAGGCAGTTTATTATTTCCTGTGGCAATTTCATACCTTCCAACTCCAACGTGTGTCACGTACGATCATGCGTGTGCATTACAATTGATGAATGGTTATTTGTTTTATATTGTACCAATGTTATACGTAATATCAAATTTCATTAAAAATCGGTCCAGCAGTTCTAGAGATAATTGACCCAGTCTGCAAATTCTCTTAATTTCTTACATCAGTGTATTTATCCCAAATTTTTTTTATTCAGTTCACAGTCAATGCTTCAAAGTGCAAGCAAATTACATCAAAGTTACTTTTCCACTATTCAGTCTTTAGTGATCCTGGTATAATTTGTTAGCATTCTTATATATTTTTTTCTTTTTAAATAAGCATTTTGAATTTTACGCTTTACCAGAACTCAGTTTTTCTATACCTTAAATTTTAAATTATTTATGTTGGGGGGGGGATAGATTTTGATATAAAGGATTTTACCGTGGAGTCCTCTTAAAAAATGAAAGGGTACTTACACAGGAGTTCCTAGGTAGGCCATGCTTTTCCATTCTTCCATGTACATCATTTGGCCCTTTAAATGCAATACTCGATCCTCCAAAGCTTAACAGGGAGAGAACAAAAATCGATTCATATTGGATCAAATAGAAAACAACAACTTAAGCGAACAATGCAATCATTTTATTTTTATTTTATAACAGTCCTCGTACAGCCGACCCAATTTTAAATTTACAACAACCAATGGATGATCCCCTTACATTCACAATTGCAATATTTTTATACCCTGTATGAGTAGTGAAGTTATGAAAATGCCGAGAATCTAAGTTACATTTACAATCTTTAGCACAATTACCTTTATAAAAAAAAATAAAAACGTAGCAAGAGCTTTGTTCTGAAACTAAAATGGCCTAAATGGATGATCCCCTTACCTTCACAATTCCCTGGATGCAATATTTTTATAACCTTTCTAACTGTATGAGTAGTGAAGTTATGAAAATGCCGAGAATCTAAGTTACATTTACAATCTTTAACACAATTACCTTTATAAAAAAAAATAAAAACGTAGCAAGAGCTTTGTTCTGAAACTAAAATGGCCAAAAAGTAGCTGGAGAAAAAGTTTTAAATCGTGAAGAAAATTTTCATCTGAAATACATACAGAACTCAATTACTTACAGAGTTTATTTTATTTTATAACCATAGTTGAACAGCTGAGCCAATTTTGAGTGTACTTCTACCAATATTCAACTCCATAGCCTTATAATTTTGAAGCCAATCCAAAGGACAACATAACTCTTGAATTATTTTCTTTGATTTTCTAATTATTTACTTATATCAAAGTAGTCATAACGTATGTAAAATTTCGTTTCATTTTGACGACTCCTTCTTGGTGCGCTAATTTTTTGGTCCATGAGTGTATGTTTGACGATGAAATTATTTATTTATTATGTCAAATGGATATTCTTTTACTAAATTTTGGCAAGAATTTAAAATTAAAATAATAACAAAATTTAATTTAAATTGCACGAGACATTCTTCACGTAGAAGGTTTTTGGTTTTAAGTATTTATGTAATTTTGCCATCTCTTGAATAAAACATACAATACAGTTGCTACAGTAAAAAAAAAAAAATTCTTTTTTTTCGAATTCTACTATGTTCCTAATAAAAAAATTAGAAAAAAAAGTCATGAATATAATTTAAAAATGAAAAAGTGATTTTAAAGTCATGTGATTTGAAAAGTTATTTTTAAGTCATGAATATAACTTTAAAGTTAATATAAAAAATATGAATAAAATTTAAAAGTTAACAATATGAGAAACGTTATAGAGTATATTAAAAAATTAAAAAAAAAATCCACTCCATTCTTTGAGTGTCAAGGGACGATGGGACGGAGAGGGGGGGTGTTAAATTTGAAATGGTCTGTTTTTAAAAAATATCAAACTCGACAAATTCTTATTTTCTTTCGATCTGAATCGAGATATCACCATTCCAAAATACTTGCACTCCTTTTTCCTTTTGCGATCAATACCCCATCTGTGAACCAAATTGCAAGACCTTGCAGGTCCAATAATTTATTTTATTTCATAACCGGCATTTTACGGCCGACGCAACTCTGAGTTTACGACTATCAATGTGCAACTCCATAGTCTTGTAATTTTGAACTCAATTCAGAAAACAAGACAACACCTGGATCGAGCTTTGGGACAAACTTCGTGGAGGACTTGAAGATGGGAAGAACTTACTTTTACATCACAGGGATAGGAAAAGCCATGAAAACCTCCCACGGTTTGTCCACATGGAAGGGAATTCTAACCAATAATGACTCAGGACTTATGTTACGCCTTGTGTAAATGGGAAGTGAAATGAACTGAAATTGACACGATTGGAACTGTGAAAGCAGTTCCGGGGTTAAGTGAGAGCAGGATGTTTGGATCTTAGTTTTCACTACTCCTCCAGAAACAAGCCAAATTGAATTGGGTGTGAGTAATTAAAGAAATGAAAGCTAACTTTTGAAGACGTACTCACTGACGTCATCCTCGTCTTGAGAGTTTTCTCCACCCATCAAATGATTTCCATTACTTTCTTGGCTCCTCATTGGATCGACGGAATTCAATTCGAATATATTATTGGAATGGACTAGAATCTGAAAAAAAGGAAAGATTAGTTGATATTTGTGAACCATTTTGAAAACTAGTCACCTTAAAAAGCTGTTGCAAAATTATGTTATCCTGATTGTAAAGTCCCCATAAATTAAACATTGTCAAGAAAATATAACTATACACTCCTAAGGTCTTAAATTTTTAAGAGGAAGATAATGCAAAAATATTTTTTCATGAACATATAGATGAATTGATGCAAGTTTAAGCATCGTATGAACCCTGACTCATTTTACGCTTATGGAAAGCCTGAATCGATATTTAAAGAAAAAATATTTATTATTCTAAATCTGAAAAGTTAGTTTAAAGGTGTCGGTAGTAGTGTTTTATTTACTTCATCCTAGACCTGACAGTTGACTATTGGAGACGGTCTGAAAAACATTCCTGAGGATGATCCGAAAACTTGCCATCACAAGTTTGATTTTCTGCCGAGGACCTGAGCGCGAAGTTATGCACTTAACGGTAGAACAGTTTAACAAGAACCAATACCGCGCACCTTCGGTCTCTTCGTAGGCTAATTAATGTGGTCACCAATTATTGACAGCATTGCTGACTGTGATGCATGACTTCGGAAACCTACAGGGAACCGTACCTTACGACCCATCTACCGTGGGACATTTAAACCCAAGTCAAAATTGATGGTTTTTCATTGAGGGACCAACATAATCTTGATGGTAAACAACATCACCCCAATAAAAAAACAATAATGATGGGGAAAACGATGCATCTTCTACTTTTCTCCACCAACAAAATATAAGGAATAGTCCACCAACACATATGGAGGCTGTTTAGAATTTTGTAGTATTAGCTCTGCACGCTTTTTGTTTCGAGTTTCGTTCACAATCAGTTTTGGCACCCATGACTAAATTTTTATTTATTTATTTTGTGTTATAAAAATATCTTACAGATTCCCAAGTAAATTCAATGAGTGGCCTCGTAAGATCAAAGACATCGGGTAACCTCCGTCCAGCAATGTCCGGCATGATGGCTCTGAGGCTTTTTCCGATGGTTTTGATGTGAAGACCGGAATCGAAGACGAGACAGAAGGGGAAGATCTCCAGGAAGAGGAATGCCTTGATGGGCAACATGGTCCTGTCGATGCCCCTCTGTAGATTCCTTTGACCTTCCAGTCGAAAGGCCTCGTTGTCGAAAGATAGCTGCATGATGACATGGAACACGCCCACCGAACTCGTCTGCCGCAGAACAGTGACATCCACTATGGTGTTGTAAAAGTGCCGACCCACTTCCTGCAAGCGATACAAATTTTAATTATACGTATGCAACTAAAATATTTTATTTATTTAATTTTTAGCAGCAGCACTTGATGCATAGAACATTCGCTGGAGCGTGTAAACACTCCCCGCAAGCCTACTGAGAGAAGAAATATTGAACAATAATTAACATATTAAACAATAAAAGATTATAAACATTTAAAACATTAGAGCATTAATAATATTGAAAACATTAGAACATAGGAGAAGTGTAAAAAATATAAAAAACATAAACACAAACAAAAAGTTAATGGAAAATCATTCAGTTTGCAGGGCTTGTCATAGTGCCCTCTAGTATCTGTCGTAGATGTTTCCCACTACTGCTAGGCAAACCCCCGGATGCGCGGCATTCACCAGGGCGTCCTTCTCGCACAGAATACAGTTTGGGTAGGGAACTTAAGTCTGTAGAGGTGAGCTGCAAGACAGGTCATGCCCGGTTGCCAATTTAAAGGCAGGCATTCCGTCTTGGGTAATCCCGTTTACAGTCTCCCTACAAGCCGTATCACCAATTTGTTCCTTAAAATGATTCTCATAGTTCTTATTGACATTATTTTTAATTATTTTGTTTATAGAAGAATAAGGTATTTTTCTCTGGAAGCACTGTAAGATACTAGCTTTAGATACTTAACTATAAGCTCTAGATACTAAATTGTTTAAGGTTTCAATCTTCCACGAGGATTCCAGGAAGTTTTTCCTAACAAAATGTTTAATTTTTGAAAAAAAGGGAAGAAAAAAATAAGAATATACACCTAATGTTTTATTCAGAACAATTTAACATCAGGCATAAGGTAATACTCAAAAAACTTTCTAAGGTACTATAAAAATATTGAAACCCACTCGCTAAAAACAGAAAATAACGCACACATTTTCTAAATTGGAATCGCTTGCAAACTAAAGTATTTTGTTATTTATTCAAAGTTTTGACTTTAAGTCTGTTTTTCTTCAATAAAATGTTTTAACTTTCACGCATGATTTCTCGATTTCTAATAAATATGTTACGTTGAAATTTGGTTATAGGTTTTTTTTTGGGGTGAAGTTTTAAGTTTAAAAAATATTTAATATATTTGAGGTATTGTTTATTTATACCTCGACCCGCCCTATTCAGGGCACACGAGAGTAGAACAAACATTCTACAGACAAAACATACATAAAACACATAAAACACAAAAAATTACATTAGCAACAAGTATAAATGGCATATAAAGAATAAATTAAAATATGAAAATATTTACACTATAAAATACAAAGGCATAGTGAAATGCCTTAAACAAAAGCATAGAAAATAATTTTAACGTAACTTTAAACTAAAGCACCGAAGTTAAAATGCATTTTAACTCTAAAATTAAGTATAAGAGAATGAATATCATTAATTGAAGCAAAATATTAGAATCACAAAGAAATTCAAGATACAAAAGGTTCAAAAGTCATGGATAACTTGAGAGTTTGACTAAAACAAATATTGTAAGATAAGTATATAGAGTTTGTTGACACGGAGTGACAGTTAGGTTACATTGTTAGTTGAATCTGGTGGATTTAACATGTCCTCAAGTGTAGTTTTGATGATTTCTTTGATAATTCTTCTGCAGGTAAAGTTTGAGAATAGCTGATGTTCTGTTTTGTCCTGGAATTTCGTGCCACGTTGTGCATGAAATTTTGGGCAGTGGCAAATCAAGTGTATTATATCTTGTTGAGAGTCACAATAAATTTGAGGTATAATTGTTTTTAAAAGATCCCATTTGACTGCCGATAAAAAGTTGTTTCAAATCATTAACGTGATTTTCATGACTTTCACTACGCGCGCAAGACATATGTTTTTTTTTTAAATTCAAATTTTAGTTCTGTAGGAAATTAACACTTTACACTCTGAGTACTTTAAAATGCTGTTAGAACAAATTTCAGGGCTGTCAAATACTACGCTCTTTGCGAATTTTTTATTGAATGGTAGAAATTTGAAAACTAAAGCTTACAGAAAATTTGTCAACATTTTAAAAGCTTCACGAAGTGAAGGTTAAACTAAAATGGCTTTTTATATAAGTTTTCGAATCATTTGCAAGTAGTGGTGTGAAAAATTACTTTAAATCAAATTTATGGAAGAAAGTATAAATACATTAAAGCATTAACTTTAGCTACCACTAGAACAAATTTTTCCAAAAAGCGTAGAAATTTAGCAGGCCTGTTAATGTTAGAAGTTAATAATTTAAAATAAATAATAAAAAATTTATTTTTAATTAGTTTTTAAAATTATTAATAGATAGTGGTTGCTAATTTTTAAGTTATAAAATTTTTTAATTTTAAAGTGGTGACTGCGGACATCGGAGTGCAATGGGTAAAATTATTAAAGTTTTTAAAATTGTTTCATAAAAGTGTTGTTGTTGTTGTTGCACGCCCCCATTGACCAGCAGTGCTAGACCAGGTCCATGACGTTATACACCCTCAAAAAATCCAACACCTTCAATGGATCTTCTGCTAAATCCTGTTTGGTGAGCCCCCCAGGCACTCGAGGATGTGGTGAGGCGAAGCCTGGTCTGAGGAACAGTTGGTGCAAATTTCAAAGTTCGTGGATCCTTCCGAAAATTTCATTGATTTAAGGCGACCGCTTCGAAAGCGAGTAAGAATAGTTTGTTCTTGTCTATTGAAATCTTGGGCCAGGGAGCCTCCAGGTCGAGAACACTGATACCATGACTGCTTTGGGGGGACATTCCAAGTGGCCTCGCAGACATCATAAAAGTGTTTATCATTCAATAAAGCTTATGTTTAAATGAAACTTCTGTAAAAAATTCAGAGTCAAATTTTAATAAGTTGTAGAAACTTTAAAAAAGTTGACAATGATGCATTTTCGATGAAATCAAAACCTTCTAACCGACTTGTTTTACTTTAAATCCTCGAGTTTTTTTTTTAAAAAGGCTACGATTTTTTAAATTTTTTTTTTACCTAAGTTTTATTATTAATCAGTAATTTTCTGAAACTTCGCAATTGATAACACTGGGGGACAAATTGTTTTGTTGCATTTTTGTTAGTACTAGATCTTACCTCATTCGGGGTATTCAAATCTGAGAATTGTTTGGTTCCGAGAGTTACAGTTTTTTTTCTTCAAAATTGTATTTTTAGTTTAGTTTATCTTTTGCCTAAAATGACAAATTTATGAAGAACATATAGATTTATATACATAGATATACATTAGTGTGCTCCTTTGCAAATAGCTCTTACGACAAAAAACATATGACTTTCAAATATATTATCATCTTTTTCCTACCACGCACTACGTATCAGAGAAGTGGTGATACTTAGTATTCATTCCTGTGAAGCTTAAAAAATCCTGGTTCGTCTTGTGTTCTTTAACTGCATGAAAACTGTAGCTTGTACGGAGAAACCAATATCAGATTTGAAATCATCGACGCGAAAATATCTAAGATCAGTTCAAAAATCTCATGCAACAGGAAAAACGAAACAAAAAAAATATGTGTGCTTCTTGGTGTAATATATGACTGATAAAACATTTAGGACAATTTAACAAGGGCAAAGTGATAAGAAAATAGGTTCAGAGGCACAATAATTTAACCACGTCAGCCAGTCAAATAATATATCCTATCCAGTCAGAAGAACCTTCGATATCTTGAATAATAAATTAATAAGGATGCAATACCTTTGTAAAGTACAATAAGAATAAAAAAATCTTCTTCTTTAACGATGAAATTTAATTAAATGAAATAGTAATGCAATTAATGAAATTTCGAAATTTATTTTGTTAAAAAACATGTGGAAATGCTGGTAAACGAATATTTGATGGACAACGCAAGATTAATGCGAATAATTTGATTTGTTCAATATTTGTGTCAAAATTTTATTCATTGAGGGAATTCATTGTTCATCCATTAGGGAAGGTAGCGAATGAAGACGGTCATTACGGTAAATGCAAATTGGTTTTGACCAATGGTTTCGAAGAAGAGTATCAGTTGAACGCATTGCACGCGGGCAATTTTTTCAAAAAAATGCATTGCAGCTGTTTGAGATTCAATTTTTAAAAAAGTGGTAGGCACGACTTCATAAAAGTTGCAGCAAACTTGCCACTCTAGCTACAACATCAAAAAAAAATTACGACGAACGATTGCAGTATTCATTACATACATACTGAATCGCTTATATACATTGCAGCAATTACAAGTGGATGATTTCTTTGAAAAGCAGAGCGAAAACGAAGTAGTTTCGCAACCACTTTTTAAACTTTTTCATGGCTCGCAGAAATTTCAAATGTTGTTGTTGTTCATTTTACGTCGCACTAGAGCTGCACAATGGGCTATTGGCGACGGTCTGGGAAACATCCCTGAGGATGATCCGAAGACATGCCATCACAATTTTGATCCTCTGCGGAGGGGATGGCACCCCCGCTTCGGTAGCCCGACGACCTGCGCGCGAAGTCGAGCACTTTACGGTAGCACAGTTTAACGAGGACCAATACCGCACACCCTCGGTCCCTACGCAGACTGATCCAAGTGGTCACCCACCCGCACACTGACCGTAGCCAGTGATGCTTGACTTCGGTGATCTGCTGGGAACCGTGTCTTAACGATCAGTCCACTGCGGGACTGCAGAAATTTCAAAAAAGTATTTTTACGTGGTCCGCTTGCTATGCGTTAATAGACAACTACAGAGATGCCAACTTGCTCCGGACAGCAAATATATATTTTAAAGTGGTAGTTTATCAATTGTGATTCTTGGTTTAATAAATTCAACTTAATAGAATTTTATCCACCACTGTTTCTAAATAGTTCGTAGGCTTATATAATTCTCCACTTTACAGTACTTATGTCATGCTATACCTTTTAAAAAGCAAGCGAAAATAGTCACATATTTGCAAAATTTACTTAGTAGTTATTTACCGTTTTTTTTTAAAATTAGTTTTGCGTGTCCGAAGCAGTTGGCATCTCTGCAACTAGAATTGACTGAAAATTCTTGACTGTTCCGTTTTCTCTTTACAAATTTTCCTCCACTTTTGTCGTTTTTTGAAGCAAGGAAAGTGGTTACAACAACAAGCCTTGATCGGAAAAGAACAAGCGCGCTTCAAAACTGGCATTTGTTTAAACACAGTTGAGGCAGATATTTACGTTTCACCTCTAATCTCGGTTAACAGTTAACTTCACTGCATCACAAAATGAAAACATGACATTACTTTGATCTGTCCAATGGTGTACCAGAGAAATCCTCTTCGTGCGCTCCGATAATGGAGTGTGATGCCAGATTCTGTCTCTCTCTCACAAAAGAAGGAGGGAGCCTTCATGCGAGGGTAACTGAACTTGAGGTGATCGTGAAGATTGTCCAGGCCATTCAAGAAATCTCTCATATGCCTTCCCAGCACAGATAACACCCTGTCGTAACCATATTGCCCCACAAAAGAGACGAAGTAGACACCCATGCCTTCCAGGAAATCTCTCTCGTTCACTTTCAGAATCTGAAAATAATAATATAAGTCAATATTTAGATGGACATAAAATGATTAAAAAGAGCATTCCCACCACAGCCTGTTGTGAGACAGGGGTTCATAGAGGCTAAGAATCCACAATTTTGTGACCAACAGTAACATTTTATTTTATAATCGTCGTTGAACCCAAAGTTTGGGTTTACGGTTATTAATGTTCAACTCTGTAGCCTTTAAATTTCGAACCCACTCCAAAAGACATGGGAATAGCTGGATAAAGTATTCTGAGAAATTTGCTTTCGTGGAGGTCTTTTTGATAGAACTAACCCGCATTTGAGTTACGTTCAGAGGAAAACCACGGTTTTCCTCTGAACGGTTTTCCTCCCACGGTCTACCACCCATGATATTTTACGTCAGCACTGTGATCGGGGCGAGCCGGGTGCGGAATTAGTATCGACTAGCCATCGATGGGATTCGAATCTGGTACACATCGAGCCCCAGTTCTTCGCTATGACAGTTCCTTTACCACTGAGCTATCAAAACTTAATATAAATGCACAGCTGCCGATTATTAAGAATTGAAGGAAGTTTTTCTTTTTATATTTAAAGTGATAGCAAAACTTATGTTTTTTTGTTTTGTTTCATTTTTGTATTTATTAATTTAAGTTAGAATAATTTTGCGTTAAATCTAATAGGACTTTTTAAAAAAAAAATACTATTTTGACAATTAGAGACCTGTTACAGAAGAATTTTTCCAGTAATAGAAAAATAGCATACATTGATGGTCATATAAATATTCACAATCAGAGCATCGAGGCTGATTTTCTTAATTGTTTATCATTTTTTCAAATTCTTTAAGCCCTTGGCGATTATTGACGAATTAATTTTTATTAATATTTCATTAAATAGAATTATAAGAATTTGTCTTCTCCAACGAAGTTACAATTATCCAGATTTTGATAGTTTTTTTTCCTTCAAATTTTGCATTGCGTTTTAAAATTTTACAAACTAATTATTCTCTTTCTCAAATAAATAACCTAAAGGCAGAATTTATCCCGCAAACAAATTATAAACGAAAAAGTGAGCCAAGGACATTAACGGGCTTTACGCGTTTGCGTTTGGACGTGTTCACTGGTGACTTAAAATTTTAATAAAAATCCCATAAATTTCCATAAAAATGTCACGTGTCTTTGAGGTTACAAATCGGAAGTAAAAAGTTCTTTTCCTGATGAAGTTATGTGATATACAGTGTAAAAGATGTTTGGTTCCATGGCAACAGCGCATCCCCACCGTGAAAGGTGTTGGAGCGTGTTCACATTACGAACGAAATATGAGATCACCAGGGGTTCGCACTTAACGAGTGCGATAAGTTTCCCTAATGGTCATATTTATTACCCAAATTTATTCTTGAACAACCCTATCGAGGTAAACTGCAGAGGATTAAATAGAACAGTAAAATATTTTTCTACTCTTTGTTACATAAAGCACTAAATAAATAATAATAAAAAAAAACAGTCCACACTGAATAATTTTTGGTTCTCATGATCAGATTTTAACGTACTGAGACTCAATCGTAATCGTTTGAGGGCCTAATTGTAAATATTCTAATTAATTTGTGCAGACGATATTCTAAATTATGAAATATTTCAGTTCCTTTTAATATCTGCGTTGAACAGCTGACTCATTTTTGAGTTTACGTTCATCAGTACTATACTGAGCTACATATGTACAATGTTATACATAGCCCTGAAATTTTGAACCCAGCTCACGAGACAAAGGAACACCTAGATCAAGTATTGGGACAAGGCAGCTTTTTTGATAGCACTAATCCAGATTTGCGTTCGTATCGATCGGCCATCGCTGGAATTCGAACCTGGATCACCTCATTGGGAGATAAACGGTCTATGCTTTTCTATTTTATAACTGAGTCCCCACGTCTCATGTATGACGCAAAAAGGAGCTTTTCCTTAATATTTGTAAACTTAAGTTTCTTTTCGGTCAGTATGAAATGATTATAAAAGTATGAGTGGTGGTTGCCATCTGGAAAATAGGGTCCCAGTAGTTTCAATAATGTTAATTTCACTAAATGTTATTAGTAATGTTAATTAACCCTTAATGTTAATTTCACTTTATCTTTAGAACTATTGCAGCAAATCAAAACTTTTTACTTACAATTATGAAATTTATGCATCCAAAGATAATTCCATGCTAAAATTAATTTTTATAATTATTTAATATTTTTTATTAGTTAGTTTACAAGCGATTGTAAAAAATTGAATTCTAAGTTGTAAAAATTTTTGCACCGATTTAAAAATTATAAAAATTTTTGCACTGACATTATTTCTTACGACAAAATACAAAATTTAAAAAAAAGGTCGATTAGTTCTTAAGAAATACAATTTTGAAAGTACGCTTTGAGATGGCGAATTACGTAAATATAAAAATTATAAAATTTTACTGTGTTATTCTGCCTCGTATATTGGAAGCATATTTTTTAGATCCATATTTTGAGGATTTAAAGATTTACATTCGTTATAAAAAATAGTTTGTTGAGAGAAAATATGTTTTTCTGTCTATGATATCGTAACCTAAAATGTGGTCTACACTAATTAACTACATTTGAGGTTAGTCAATAAAACCATTAAAATATAGTCATACTCCTTGTACATGAAAATCCGACCATTGGATGAAAAGCTATTCGTTTTTTCATTTAGAGCTCTGTTCGTGACAGTTGTTACACAACGGATTGTTTCAAACAATTTTGAAATAATTTTCATCTAAGTTCCTCCTCTTACTAAAAATACTTTACTTTAAACTATTTTTTTTCTCAAAATTGTGAAAAGTTAGATAAAATAAAAAGATATTGGTCTTATATCGTTTCTGTAATTTAGACCGTAAATTACCCGGACACCTCATTGGAAGGTCTATCCCCTGAGACGTTCTCAGGGGATAGACCTTCAGTTACTTTCAACTTTTTCAGTTACTTAGCACATCTAATCTTCTCAAGACTAGTGAAAGAAGGAATAGCTCTGGGCTCACATATGGGCAGCGAGTATACGTTGTAAAAAAGTATGCGCATTAATTAAGAAGTATGCGCATTAATTAAGGTCTCTGCAATCAGAAAAGCAAGTCTCACACACGATAACGTGGGCTGTGAAGAGAGAATGGTTTGATAGGATTCCAGACCTGGACGGGTTAAAATTGGAAATTCTACGCTGCATTAAATTCTATTTCTCGCTGCGTAAAATAGCATCAATCGATACTAGGTGGTGTCTTCACTTAAGTTAGTAGAACATTAGATTCCCCTGTAAAAAAATTTTTGCTTTTCGACTAGTTTTTTTTCTATTGCAGACTGTAAATACGAAATAAATTAATTGAAGAATTGAATTGATTGAATTAATTGAAGATCTTAAATTTGTTATTTTATCATTCTGGCACTATTATGGCTGTTACAGATGTTTATGCTTGGATTAGTTGAACAGAAATTTAACGAAAAAGAGAACATTGTTTTTTTTTATTTGTACACTATTCTATGCACGTTCGCATAATTAAAGGTGTTGCCTTGTGAAGCGAACGAAGTAAAAATTCATAATTAAATGCTTGCTTATTTTTTTGCAACTAATTATTTATGTGAAGTGAAATAACAATTGATACTTTTTCTTAGTACGTAAATGATCCACATAAAGTGTGATAAACAATTAATTCCAAATTGTTTTTTATATGTTATGCATTTAACAATTGATACTCGACATTTTTATTCGCTAATGTTTTACTTGAACTGTGGTGAACAATTGATACTCGGGAAACTCGATTATTTTACACTTTTATGTTTTACATGAACTGCGGTAAGCATTTGATACTCAATTTTTTTATATTTTATGTTTTACTGGAACTATGATAAACATTTGATACTCGGTTGTTTTACATATTAATGTCCTAAACGTACTGTGTTAAACAATTGATGCTCAATTTTTTCGATATGTTATGTTTTACTGGAACTCTCATAAACTATTAAGGCTCGGCTTTTTTATGTTTTATATTTTACTGGAAGTGTGTGATAAACAATTTACGACCAGTTTTTTACACGTTAATGCTTTACTTGAACCGTGATAAACAATTGATACTCAGTTTTTTTCATGTTAATGTTTTGCATGAACTGCTGTAAACAATTGATACTTATTTTTTTAATATTATGTTTTACTGGAACTGTGATAAACAATTGATGCCCGATTGTCTTGCACGTTATTGTTTTACTTGAACTGTGATAAACAAATGTTTCTCGATTGTCTTACACGTTAATGTGCGGCATGAACTGCTGTAAGCAATTAATACTCATTTTTTTATATGTAATCTTTTACTGGAACTGTGATAAACCATTGATACTCGATTGATACACATTAATGTTTTACTTGAACTATGATAAACAATTGATACTCTGTTTTTTACACGTTTGCATGAACTGCTGTAAACAGTTGATACATATTTTTTTTATATGTTATATTTTGCAGGAACTGTGATAAACAATTGATGCTCGATTGTTTTAGACGTTAATGTTTTACTTGAACTGTGATAAACAATTGATACTTTCTTTTTTTGCACGTTTGCATGAACTGCTGTAAGCAATTAATACTCATTTTTTTTATATGTAATCTTTTACTGGAACTGTGATAAACCATTGATACTCGATTGCTACACATTAATGTTTTACTTGAACTATGATAAACAATTGATACTCTGTTTTTTTAAACGTTTGCATGAACTGCTGTAAACAATTGATACACATTTTTTTATATGTTATGTTTTACATGAACTGTGATAAACAATTTATGCTCGATTATTTCACGCATTAATGTTTTTCTTGAACTGTGATAAACAATTGAATCAGGTGTTTTTTTAAAGGTAAAAAATAACTTTTCTGATTTAATTTGTAAAAAAAAAAGAATCAAATTTTAAAGAGTATTTCATAATTTTGTAAATTTTTTTATACACATTATATCTTTTTGTAGAACACTGAAAAATGCTTAGCAGAACAAT